CTGATTATCACCACTATCTTGGGTTGTCATTATCTCTAGACTGATTATCACTGCTATCTTGGGTTGTCATTATCACTAGACTGATTATCACCACTATTTTGGGTTGCCTTTATCACTAGACTGGATTATTCAGTTCCTCTGTAGACCTACTCATGTAATAGTCAGCTCCTTCCTTTTAGCTGCCTTTGTTATATGTAACTGAACCAATATTGCAGTAGAGGCATGTCACATCTCTTAATTTGACTGTTGACTATATTGGACCTTTAATAATACCTAAGTGGTTGGTCTTTAGTATGAATTCTCAATGACATAGATATGACTCAAACTTCTGAACTGCCTGTATCATTTTCAACCTTCATGCTGGATGACTGAATATGTCTTCTAGCACTTTATGTATTTCTTGCTTGGAAAAGGAATAGCAAATTTGTCATTATGAAATTTCTTAAGGAGAATGTCTCCAAAAAAAGGTCTGATGCGTCAGTGCACAAAATAAATTCCTGTTGGAAGTCATGTAGATGTAAAATAGAAGTTGAGCACTTACTCTTGAGAGTGCAAAATGCCAATTCTTGACTATTTTGAGTTACTTTTGTTTGTTAAACCGTTTTTGTTTTTTTCTGTCACAGGAGAAGTTTAGCAACAAAGTTTGGGATTGATGGATATAGAAGACTGTTTAGTTTAAGAGTTATTATTTAGTGATTTGATATTTAATGATTATTTAGTTTTCAAAATAAGTGTGTTAAACCTAGCCCTGTAGACTTCAAACAAGAAGAGAAGTTACAGCAGTTGTTGGCAAAAAAAGAAAAGAAACAGGAAGAGACACTACAACAGTGGCAACTGGAACAAGAAAGGAAACAAGAAGTACAAACAGAAAACATTAGTAAAGTTAAAAGCGAATTAGATACATTAAAGGATGATCTATTGTCTTTTACACGAGGATACATTAACCATCGACTTAATCAGCCCCAGACAATGGCAAGCCCCTTCCAGACCCCGCAGCTAAACCCTAATGCAGACATATTCAGTCCCGTTAGAAGCCATATCCCAGATATGAATGTCAGTACTAGGAGTCATCCAGTACGAAGGAAGCCACAGGAATATGATGGGAGAGCACCGTGGGAAGCATATAGAGCACAATTTGAGCTACTGGCAGAGATGAGTGGATGGACAGAGGAGCAGAAAGCAGTATATCTGGCAACGAGCTTGAAGGGACAACCACTGGAAATACTTGGACAGTTGTCAGCAGACGACAGACACAACTATAGAGCACTGGTGTCGGCTCTAGAACTCAGGTACGGAACCCAAAGTCAGTCCATTTTCTTTCTCTTCTAACAACTGCTGTAACTTCTCTTCTTGTTTATTTTCTTTCTCCTCCAACCACTGGTGTAGTCTCTCTTCTTGTTTATTTTCTTTCTCCTCCAACCACTGCTGTAGTTTCTCTTGTTTATTTTGCTGTTCTAGCTGCCATTGTTGTAGGTTTTCTTGCCACTTCTGTAATCTTTCTTCTTGTTTCTTTTCTCGTTCTTCTTGTTTCTTTTCTTTTTCCTCCAACAACTGCTGTAATTTATCTTCTTGTTTATTTTGTTGTTCAAGCTGCCAATGTTGCATGTTTTCTTGCAACTGCTGTTGTCTCTCTTCTTGTTTCTTTTCTTTTTCCTCAAACAACTGCTTTAATCTCTCTTCTTGTTTCTTTTCTTGTTTATTCTCTCGTTCTTCTTGTTTCTTTTCTTTTTCCTCTAACAACTGTTGTAATCTCTCTTCTTGTTTATTTTGTTGTTCGAGCTGCCACTGTTGCAGGTTTTCTTGCAACTGCTGTTGTCTCTCTTCTTGTTTCTTTTCTCTTTTATTTTCTCGTTCTTCTTGTTTCTTTTGCTGCTCTTGTATTGCTGCCATCAAGTCTGCTAAGCTGTAGTTTGATTTGCCGCTTCTCATTTCCATTTATTTTTAATTTTTCCTGTTCCACTTCCTACACCAATTTGTTACGTCTCCGTTCGTTAATTGATTTTCCGTAACTTCGTTCCTACGAAACTTTAGCGACACAAGTCCTTACTTAATAAAAACTGGTTTATTCTTTCTGAATACAACTTTACGATACACTTAATTTGAACAGTAGTGCTAAAACAAACGCTATATCTCACGTGGGCGACAATATTTTGTCTGCATACGTTCAATTACTCATTACACTGCTGTGACCGTCTTATATATACAAGACTAACACATATCTAGTAAATGCTAGGGCATTCTTGAAGGAACAGGATATTTCTAGAAAATGGGTGGCGTGATACTAGTCACGTGACCTTGCTGACGCAACACCACCTTTCCTCCCCACTGAAAACTGGTGTTTCCATTTTCTGCCATAACTCAAAGTGTGTTGCACTCTTATTGGTTTAGGGTTGTTGCATGTGAATTAGTCAGTTGTAAGGTGCGTGGAACTTGAGGCTTGTGGCATGCAAAATATTTTTTGCAAATAGAGGTCAGCACTGAATAAGAATAGCTGTGACAGGAGGTAAGTACTATCAGAAATATATTTCCAGTGTAAGAAAATTATAGCTTCTGTATATAAAGTTTTTTTTTACAGTTCTTTTGCTTTTTACTGGAATCTGTGAACATGTTGTAGCAATTGTTGAAAAGTGCTTTGTTAACAATTTCTAAGAGTTTAAACCTTAAACTCAGTTGGTAGAGCACTTGCCTATAGTGTATGAAGTTCCAGGCTCAAATATTACTCGAAGAAGATGAAATAATGTTGAATTACCACAAATGTAGTGTTTCTATATATAAATGTTTTCTGACAATTCTTTTCCTTTGTACTGGAATTTGTGAATTGCAAGAAAATACTGAATACTTTTTACCCTAAAGTATAGGGTAAAATGTATAATCTGAACAACTTTTCAGCTATGTATGTGTAAGGATTTAGAATAATTCAGAATTATTGGTATTCTTGAGGCTAATGTTGGCTTTTTAAAATGAAATCACTAAAAAAGAAAAACACATACCAGAACTTGACTGCTAGTTACTAAAGTATTCTATTGCAGGTATTGTTACAGTGTGTGATTAGTGAAAGCATAGCAGTGCAAGGTGAATGCTGTTGTTATATCATAGAAACCCCATTGATTCATCATTTGAAAGCTAGTTCAAACAAAACATAGAGCTTAGTTACAGGTAAATAATTAGAAAAAATTGCTTCATCTTTGTTTAGCTTAATTTCATAAAAGAAGGAAATAATTATTCTGTAGGTGTTGCTGATGGAGTAGGAGGATGGAGGACCTATGGAATTGATCCTTCATTGTTTTCATATTCTTTGATGGAAATTTGTGAAAGATTGGTCAGCACAGGACATTTTAATCCACAGTGTCCAGCAGGAATTATTGCAACTAGCTACTATGAACTTTTGGAAAGCAAACAACAAATTTTAGGTATGTATATGACAAAAATATATATTTTTTTCTTATTCTTATGATTGGGACCTAAATCTAAAGTAACGAATTCTATAAACTTCACATAAGGTGCTAAATCAGACCTGTGACAAATGTCTTTTTTTCTCCTATCTTATTTTATGATACAGTTTTTATTATGTTTGTAACTACACTTTTTGTAACTTGAAAGAAGCAACTTTAGTTTAATATAGATATGCTACTCTTTGCTTATAAATACAGGAATTAATACTTTTTTACAGTATGTCATTCTAAGACCTCCACCTTCGTCTTTCATGAAATAATTTGTGTGATATACTTTCTTTTCCTTCGTGATTACCTATTTCTGACAGTTCTGAAACCACACTCCACCAGGATGAAATGCCTACTTATATGCTCATCATTAGTAAGACATATCCTCAGGTGGTTCTTGTTGTAGATTCATTCTTACTTTTACAGTACTACATGTATCAATGTTTCAGATTTGTTCCTCTTTGTTTGTAACATCTGCTTACTCAAATTTTTATCTTTACTTGTATGTAATTAATCTCTATCATGTTACTGCTGTGAACTTTTAGTTTGCTTTGTAGTTCTAAGTTATATTTTATTAGTATCCTTGTTTTCACCTATATAGACTTCAAGCCTGTTTCTTATTATTTAAATCAAAACTGATTTTCACTTTTTTCATCTTGATTTTTCATGATTATAAGTAGCTTTATCATCATCAGACCTCTTGTTTGTGATGATACCTGCTTTTCAGGCAGCAGTCACATGTTTTTACATTGTTCTTAGTAATTTGTATTGCCTTGGATGACATTGAAGCATTTGAAGTATCCACCATTAAAAATTATTGGTTATATCACTAACTATGTTGGCTACTGATTATGGCAGGACAGTCATGAGACATTGCAAGGTGATGAACTTGATATTAAATTAGTTGTTTACAGAAATAACACCATTCTGGCTACAGTGATAAGCCACATACACATGGAAGCAATACAAAAATTATCATAAACTCAAATTCATGCACACAACTATGAGATAAAAGATAACTGTGAAGAAGATGACAAAAATAGGGGCTGTCCTAATGGTAATCCAAAGAAAACTAACCTTTGTGTTCTTCATATGACCAATGTATAACACTAACTAAACCTAATAGCCAAAATTCTGAAATAAATACAGTCATTAAATCTATTTCCATAATACTTAACAATATTGTAGATGTCTTGTTTGAAAAAATAAAAACAGTCTCCAAATAACCAGAATAATTATTTTTGGATTATTAAAAATTACATTCCACATTTGGAATGTTTAAATAATGTAAATTCTTCGAAAACTGCCAGTTCTATTTTTACATATGACTTTACTACATTGTATTCTGAAATAGACCTAAAGGATTTAGTCAGGGTTTTCAATTGTTTGTTTGATAACTTTATAAATAATGAAATAACTATACCCAAATTTAAATTTGCTAAAATTCAGTGTAAAAATATATTCCATTTCTGTATTTATAACAGTTGTATTGTTTTTAAAGAACACGTATGTAAGCAAACGGTGGATATTCCAATGGGAACAAACTTCTCTTCAAATATGACCAACCCGTATCTTTTATTTTTAAACTCATTTATGAAGCAGACTTTAAATCCTAATTTATACATTTACACTTTCTATTACACAGATGATTTAATATCTATAAATAATATGAATTTTACACTAAACTTAATATATCCAACAGAACTTGCAACAGAAGAAAGTAATAATAATAATAATAATGAGGTCCATGTTAATTATTTAGATTTGGACATTACTTTTATAGAAGGTACAGTGCATTTGACTATTTCATAAAAGAAGATAATTTAATTTTCCCATTTTTGATCTACCCACACCTAATAGTCTTATTGTATTAGTATATATTAACTAAAATAGTTCTTAATGGTCTGTAATAACTATAATTTTTATATGGACAATGTTTTGTTATTAAAAAATAAACTGAAAGATAATGGCTATAAAGAAAGGCAATTAAAGAAATACTTTATTTTTTGATAAATACAAAAATACTTTAGAAACTAAACTATTGATTAAAGAAAATATCTTGTAAATAAAATATAGAGGGGGTTAGTTATTTTAGGTTATAAGTAGCTAATAATAATAATTCTAGTAATTTTATTCAGTATAACTGGTATCGAAAGACTAACTTCAGATAGCTGGGCTTGTCTCGGTGTTCCCGTGTTATTCTTGAATAAATCTTCAGGAGAAAGGGAGGAGGTTGGAAGTTAGAACTATACAAGAACTTTTAAGGTAGGGTGTATAGTTCTATTTAATATATTTTGGTAAGGGTGGAGGTTGGGAGTTTAATTAGTAGAAATATTATAGTGGCTTCATTTCAGTTCATTTCTGCTTTAAGAATTTTAAGGGTAACTGTCTTCCCACAACTAGCTATAGACAGTAAAAGGCAGTAGAAGCTGAGATGTTGTGGGTGTAAGCACTCAGCTTTGTACCTCTATTTGATTGATTTCTTTATGATCTTCTATGATGGCTGACTAGATTAACATTGGTGTTTGGATTTTGTCTGATAGATGGGATATCCCCAACGCATGTGGGTATTGTTACCACAGACGTTATCCGATATGACAATAAGTTGATAACCTGGACCAATAAAAGTAATGCGATTATTTAATTCATTATTGTTTATAGTGCCGATGTAATTGCCTATTAACAATTAATGTAATTAATAGTTTGTGAGCTATACTGCTAACAGCAATTTATTTCATAAGCCAATTAGCATGTAAAACAAACTATCTGAACTGGAACATAGCTTGTCTTTTCCGATTATTAATCTTGTATGTTATTATCTTTAGAATACAGCAAGAACAAAATCATAAAACTTTATCCTATTAATCCTCTACATAATCTTCCAACTTTAATGAGATCATCTCTTAGCTCAACTTTTTTTTTAAAGAGAAAATAAATCAAGATGTCATAACTTTTCCCCGTAACCCCCACATCTCATTAAAGGAAAAAAAAAAAATATCAGTATGTGCTACCATCTTAATTTTTCAACCACTGCATTATTGTAGCATAGTATTAACTTTCTTATTATATTTAACATGGAATTATTATTTTTCTTAAAAGTAATTTTGAATTACTCTAGAGTGTATATGATACAACTTTTCTGAAGGTCATTATTTGTGCAGATGCAAAAAACTTTTAATTGAAAATGAAAATTTTCAAAACGTTTTATGGACATTTCCTACATGCCAAAGGAATTGTTAATGTCTACTAAATACCACCACATGATTGCCATTGTTTGTATTTCAAATATGGAGTAATCCCTCACTGATATTCTTCGAATCAAACTGATGATTAAGTAATGAAAATGTGTTTGCTCTCATGATGAGTGATGATGATTTTATTAAAAACATGTTACGATTACAACTAAAAATAATTAGAAATATTTTGTTTACAAGCAGTATTTTTTGCAGCTGAGCAAAAGTGAAAAAAATTAACTATATGAATTCCAATACAGTATCTTACCTCATCTCACTTAATAGCTTTTCTTGATTTACACTGCCCTCTCTATGTGCCCACATTTTCACTCACCACCAACCTTGATATTCCCACCTACCCTAATGCATTTTCATGTGAGGCAGCTGTGTGATTGTATGCAAATAAGCATGTGACAACCACCAATAAGAGTGTGAAACAACCCCTAGCAGAGCTGACTCCCTTTATGCAGCTTAGCTCAATTTCACTTCCTGCTTGGAACTTGTGTTAAGATGAATTTTTTGCTCGAGCTTTACTTCATGGAATTTTCAATTAGTTACTTGTTTTTTTATGAAAACTTAATTTCTTTTCTTTATGTTTACTACACTTTAGTTCTGCAGTTTTAATTTGTACACGTTAACAATACATGTCTTTTATTTTCATATATGTTTCTTTGGAGGTCCCTGTGTGTATTTTTCTACCATAGTTACTATAAATTCTAAGTTTCATGTTACAACTATTATCACTACTGTTCCTACTGCAGTTAACCTTACTTTGTCTACAGTGTCTATGGGTCTACAATTATTGTAACAACCTTGATTCAAGGAGAGTTAGCTACTTTCATGTAGGCTTCTGATTCACATGAGGATTATCCTGTCATGCCTGAACATAAGGACTATGATTATGACAGCCTGTTTCCATCCCATCTTATGCCACACAGTCACATTTAGCTCTAGTGGATGTGCTTAGGCCTTCTTCTCCTTTCCTTGACTTGATCAACCAGATTTGTTACATATTGTCTTTGTTTCCCATTTCCTTTGACTCCTCCTTGTCTTTTGTAAGTGAGATTCCTTCGGACCACTATCTTGTTCTCTCCTCCATCACCAGATATTGGGGTTCATTTCCAATAGGTTTGAAGACCAATTACATTCTGGAGTCAGTATGCCTCAACCCCCATGTAGCATGAAAGCCCATGATTTGGCTTACCATAGGTCTGCATTTCCTTTTTTGTACTCCTAGCAGTTGGATTTTCTTCTGCCCCTGTGGAGTTTGAATCCCAATACTTTGGTCACATTTTCCCAATCTTAATTTTCCTTCTCAGCCAAGTTTCTATTCCCATTTGTTCATCATCCTCATGAAGACCAGGGAATGCTGTCCCATCATATATCTTTCTTCCTTTAACCACTTCCTAGATCTTCCTTGATTCACCTTGGATTCATACCCATCTCTTCAATGGGCTTTAACTCTTGATCTTTGGATGATGAAGGTAGATGTCATGGATGCTTACCTCCACATTCCCATCTTCCCAGCATTTTCTTCATTTTGTCTATTGGGGTTGCATCTATCAGTTCTATGCTGTTCTGTTCAAGCTGGCTTTGGTTCCCTACATTTTTTTTATGGGTGGTTAAGACCATTCCCAATCTTTTCCATTCTGAGGGTATTTGTTTCTACCATTGCATTGATGACTGGCTGCTTCTAGTTCCTTCGCATACCATCTCTTACCTTAACAGTCAGTTTCT